GTATAGTCATTTTATTTACTATTCAAAACATCTTTGGAGTTTTAGGTTTCTGTATGCGATGTTGATTTTGGTAAAGTAATGAAATCAGTAAAAAATGAATAAATAAATAACATTTTATTTGGGACTATTTCTCCTTAGAACACCCTGCACGTACCTCTCCATCATGAACGCATTTAAAAATAAAACATTTTAGGCCCAAATCTTATCTCATAACTATCATGAAACAGCGTCTCAGGCATCAGGTGATGTGTTTCTAAACATTTCAGTGGAGTCATTTTGGAGTCATTTAACTCTTCAGACGTCTGGTTCCTATCACCACCACTGTAAACAATTCTGTCTGTAAGTTTTTCTAGAACTGAGCATTTCACATCAAACCACTCTAACTGACTTTTTTACAAGACTTAATTAATTATGCAGAAATTTTGAAACATTGGTGGAATTCCCCTTTAAAGAATGGTTATTTTTTTTCTGATAAATTACAAAAAACAGCTGGCAAAATAAGTGAATGAATAAATACATTATTCAATCCAAAAAGTAACTGTACTTTTGGCTAAACATATAAATGCATGGGTGTTTCTGCAAATAGTCAGTTTTAGTTGTCCAGTTTTTTTAGAAAAACGGTGAAAATGTCCTCACTGTGACAAGAGAAAGTATTACAGTGAGGACATATTAACATTTTCAATGTTTACCAAAGGAAAAAATGATGTGATTTATTAATATTTCAACCTCAGATTCTTGGCCTTTGCTCATTTTCTGTGAAGAACATATAAAATAACCCATTTTCAGTGCTTCACTCTGTTCACCCCCCACACATTTATATTACACATGTGGTGTTGGGTGAACCTGCGGGGAGTAAAAGTGTGGAGGTGCTGTGTCCTTCACTCTGTTCTCCTCCTACATGGCCTGCTGTAAGTGTGTGTGTGTCTCTGTGTGTTTGTATATATGTGTGTGTTTGTGTTTGTGAGGGTGGACAACATGGACAGGCTGCTGACTGGCTACAGCTGCTAAAGGAGAACCCTACGCTGGCCACTTGTGATATTTTAAACATCTGGTATTTTTACATCAATCATTATGGCTGTATTCGTTTTAAAATCAATAATGCGGTGGGTCCACCAGACCACTGAGTACCAAACACACCAACACCACACAAGCGTTAAAACTTTTTTCAATATTTTTGAGTAGAAATGGCAAAGATCATGGCCCTTTACCTTAGCTGTGGCAAACAATGTCTAAAATAGTTGAATGTAACAGGAATATGGAACTCTAATTCAAAAAACAGCAGTTACAGTGTTGAAGAATAACAGCTGATGTATGATGAAAAACGCACATTTATTTCTCTAATAAAAGAGGTATTAATTATAACATAGCATTGACTTTTCTTGTATGTGTAAAGCAAACTCCCGACAACATATAATCACAAAAATAACTAGAAAATTCTCAAAAGTTGATCAAAATCCTTCATACTTTACCTTTCTATGCATCCAGCGGCACCTATATCAGATTTTTTGTCCATTTGCTTTTTCAGTAACTTATATTTCCACTGAACATGGGTTTGTTTGGCTGTGTTGGTCCTGTGGCGGTCCTGACCATTGAAGGACAGGGTCAAAGGGGGATATCAAAGTATGCAGGGAAACAGATGGACTAGAATCTGTTACTGTAGAACTACAAGGTGCTCCTATATGGTAACTGGAGCTGATAAAATGGACAGTGAGTGTAGAATTAAGGAAGTTGCCAGTCGTTCAGTGTACATATTACAGACTATAGAGTCTGTGTGTGTTTGTAACTCATGAATGCCGCCCTTCAGAAAAGCATTACCCTATTTTCTACGTGTTCTGCTAAAAATGTGCACATATATCTGAAAATCCACTGGTATAGTTGCAGAAACACCCATATACATATATGTATACCATCATACTTTCACCATTATTTGAACCCTCAGGACTCTTGAACAGGTAGCCTACTTCACCTACATGAATTCTCTTATGTAACTTACCCACCTTGAGAATTTGTTGCTACTCTTGTTTCTGCTATTTGCCATCCCTGTCCTCACAGCCACTGGCTGGACTACTCAACATCTAGATCAGCTGCCTATGGAAATGACTGTTCTGCCCAAGTAGGGTATGAAATAACAACCGTATCTTACATCTTATCTATAAAACTCCTCCTCCTTTAAGTAGTGAGGGCTTATTTTTCTAATGATACAACCTAATCTATTAGATTTTCAGAGTGTTAGGCCAAAGTTAAAGTACCTGATCATAAATAAAGAACTAAAACAAGTAAACTTTTCATTTTAACTATCACATTGGGGTAATGCATCAAACTCACCCCAAACTTATTTAGGCAATACATGTTTGGCATCTAAAGTTTGCTTCTTTACTTTTGCACTTGCATCACATAGCTAACAATCAACAGGCATTTACGCTGTAAACTTAAATTAGTTGACTTTAAAAAAATCATGCAAATGTACTGCCTTGAAAAAAATAAGTTACTAGACAGGTTTAAGAGTAAATAACCTTATATATGAGTGGCAGATACTTAATTTTCAGTGATCTGCTTTTCTGCAGCAAGTTAGGTGAACTCAAACAGCCCAATAATGATAAACAGCTTTTTCAAATTCTACTTACTTTTAAATTAGTTTAAAATTAATTATTAGTTATTATTATTATTAGTTTAGGTTGTATCAACTATTCTGCCTACTCCATTATACTAAACAGAGCGCTTTGCACTGTAATGAATAAAGTAAGTTAGGAGTACAATCAGAGCCAGTTTATGAGGAGCCTGGCCACTTCCTATTTCCCCCATTATATCAAAAACAGGGCCGCAAAACAGCAGAGGGCGCCTGCGAGGGAGTTCTCAATGAATGGGAGTAAATGGAGTTAAAATAGTTTCTAATCTCTCACCCAGAACTTTCCTTTAATTTTAGAAAGTAGAAGGATGAATTTCACTAAAAAAGCAATGAAATCTTACCCGTATATTTCCTTTTTTCCACAGTTTTGGGCCGCAGAACGGCAGCGTTACTGCTACTGAGTGCTGATTGGTTGGCGAGCGGAGCAGCTCATTGGCTGTTCGTGCTCACAGACGTCATAGACGTTTATGAGGTGCCGTTTTAAACTCCTATGACTCAAGTTTAAAAGCTCTTAAAAATATAACAGCAGTGTTAAAATGTTTTATGCTGTTCTGTGTTCAGGAAATGAATGTATTCTTTTACATTGAAAATGTTTAAGTATATATAAACTATGATTTTGCTCAAATGTTCCATATCAACCCATTCATTTTGGACTCGCTCGGGAGCGCCCTCTAGCGTTTGTGAAACCTAAAGACATTGCAGAGTGATAATTCTCCTCTCTACAAGTTCTCTGGTACAATCACCATTTTCTAAAGACTCTGTTAGCATTAATCGCTCCAGTCTGAACTGGTAAACCTGAACACAAAGTACCAAAATGGTACGAATAACAAAAACATGTAAAATGACATTTAGCAAAAAGAAGTACATTTATAAATTAGAAAAATAAGAGTTTATTAGGACAAACCAACAAAAACCGCTAAGAATTCTGGGAAGCTTTTTGGACCTAACCTTCATTCTGTAGTACTTTTGTATTAGTAATTTTAACACATTAGTACACAAAAAGTGTGCAGTTGTTATATTTCACAGTGAATATTACCAACTACAGTCTGTAACTGTAGAACTACAAAGTGCACCTATATAGTAAGTGGACCTGATAAAATGGACAATGAGTGTAGAATTAAGGAAGTGTCTGGTCATTCCGTGTATATATTACAGACTATAGAGTCTGTGTGTGTTTGTAAATTATGAATGCTGCCCTTCAGAAAAGCATTACCCTATTTTCTATGTGTTCTGTTAAAAATGTGCACATATATCTAAAAAATCCACTGTCATAGTTGCAGAAACACCCATATACATACAGGTATATAATCATACTCAGAATTCTGGGAAGTACACATTAGTACACATAAAGAGTGCAGTTATTATATTTTACAGTGAATATTACCCAAAAATATTTTTTGGTGATGTTTTAAGGTTTGGGCTTAAAGAAAAATTGTATAAATGTGATTTTTCGGCAACCCATTCCTTTACATTCAACTGGACGTGATGCAGATTGCAAGTAGATTTTCCAACAAATAAGTCTACCTTGTGGACCGATTTTATCTCCTCAATTTAATCTGGATAAACCGCTTAAGTCGACAAGTTTGACTTCCTACACACCCAGGAAAAGATCCATTCTCAAGTCCCTGCTGAGTTTTCTAGACATTTCCAGTCAAATCTCTCCCCGAGCTGGGGGTTTTCGCAGCGACATGGCAACACCGTTGGACAAAATGAGAATGATGTTTGAATCAGCCAATCAGCGCTTCGCTTCCACCGACGTCATCAGAACCTTCTGGATTTGAACCAATCGCTCGCTCGTTGACGCTCTCGGAGTCACGTAGTAAATAAACCGAGCAGACGGGCTACTGTTGATGATTCAATTTGCCGAGCCGACTCTTTGGAACCGTTCGTTTCAATGAATCGAACATCTGGTTTAATGCTTCAGTCACAAGCCGAATGAACTGACTCTCATCCCAGCCACGTAGGATCACTTTCGATTCAGCTAGTGAACCTCACTACTTCTTTTCCACTAAAGAAGTATTCGATTAATTGGTGAATATTATTTTCCGTGACCACTGGTGCACAATGATACAATCAAAGTTCAGACAGCTTTTTGTTTTGGAGGCAGACAAGGTCATTACATTTACATTAAAATTATGGAAAACACAGTTTGTTTAAAGTAATATGCCTTGATGAATCGAGCGTAAATCAACCAGGCATTTGGGCTGCTTTTAATTTTAATTAATATATTACATATTACAAGCCTCACATGCAGTTCTTGACCTCTTCAACTCCTTGTCATATTCTTCATATCTGGGTGTCATATGAGAGCTGTAACTGTCTTCTTTACAGTCAAATAGATGGGTGATGTAATTTTAAACCCTTATAATAAAAGTTTTTCTACTAAAAGTCGACCCATTTTTCCACAAATCTGGGCTATAAACTATAAACAGATGGCGTCTCTTCAGTGATCTGCTCCGTAAAAATTATTTTTATAAAATAATACAAAGAGCATCTAAGATTTTTGGCTTTCAGCAGTAAATTGTAAGCATATAGTAATATGTGTGATCATAAAACACATGTTCTGTTAATTTGAGGGGAGCTTTTACCAAAAAATAAATAAATAACATAAATATTTACATTTTTTTCATGCAGTTACTGAATAATTTGCCTTACGATTTGGTCGTGTAAATTCAGATGGACAAACCAAAATATACCCTGAAGAAATTATGTTTTTGCTGTCTGTTTTTAAACATTTTACTTTTTGGAAAGATCGTAACTCCAGTTTATCAATACTCTTGACAGGAACGTAAATATTTTGTAGCGCAAAAGCCACAGAAATATTCAGATCGATTCTGTTTGGCCTGTGAATCGATTCGGAATATTCGTTGAAAAAGAATCGGTTCGAAAACGATTCATTCACGAGTCGGACGTCGTTCAGTAGCATAAATGACACACGTAGGGAGATGGACTACATCTGAGCAGAACACCGGCTAAACCACTTTTTGTTTTCGGTTTCACTGCGGGTAGGGTTCAGACAGTTTTAGTAAACCGAACTGTGCTTATTAAGATTATAGTTCTGTAGTTTTGGAAACAATTTGCACCAGCAGGACCCTGTTAGCGCCCTGGTTGTGTGTGTTTTGCCATACATTGGTCAGTTTAGCTGACTGCGTTAGCAGTAAGCTAACTGGCGGTTACCGGACTGGCCCTTTGGTTTGTTCCGTAGAGATAATAGTGTGTGAACTGCTCGCTGGCTGATTCGTTAGCTGTGCACACAGTTAACGTACAGACTTGTTTACATTTGAATGAGTATCAGTTAGCTAATTAATCAGCTACGAACCGCAGCGTGTTAGCTTCACTGAAGTGACATTACCTGACAAACTGAAAGGCAGGTGGATTCCCTGCGGTGTCTAGCTAAAGCTAGCCAGCTAATGCTGTGTATGTACAGTCAGCGCACTCAGCATAATAGTTGACCGAGCTGACGGTGAACTTTTGGCCGCTCATGCCGTCTAAAAAGACCCGAATACCGCGGAGCTGAAGGCAAGCAAGCAGTGTTGGACGTCGCTAGCTACCGTTAGCTCGCTGGCTAAGTGCATGCCGCTCGGATGCACGCCCGGTTGGAAACTGTGCAAGAAGGAAAGTCAGGGACGGGGACGAGAGAGATGTCGGAGCTGAACCGAGAAGTCCGAGAAGTCGTGGAGCTGGTGTGGGGGAAGCAGTCGGCTGGCAGCGGTGTGTCCGCGCCGCTTTTCCGCCGGTGGACGCAAGGTAAGCAGGGCTCTCAGACTACCTTGTCCACTGCTGTGATTTTTTTGTCCAGTAGCTGGAGAACTTTTAACTTTTTCCCAGCCAACCAAACCACCACATCCTACTTAAAGATGCGTCTCATTGCTGGAACTAACGCTACATTTCTTTACTCCTGAGTTGTGATGTCTACAACACAAAATAGCTATTTTGTTTACTATCCAAACCCACCAGTGAACCTACACGTGAGGTTTTTATGTACATGTAATGTTAGTGATGGTAAAATAGTGGAAAATCTGAAAAAAGGTTTTCTGTGGGAACAATTTTGACTCTCAACACCCTGCAGGTATCCCTCTGCTGTGAATAGATCTTAAGAATACATGTTAGGCCAAATTCTTCTCTCAAAACTATCATGAAAGACCTCAGACAGCAAATTTGTAACCACTTTCTTATACATTTTAATGATTTATCTGCTCAAATACACCTGATTTAACTCATCTGGTAATTGCTGGCCTTAGTGGGTGTGTTTGACCAGGAAAACCAAAGCCAGATGTACACGGTGCGATTTTAGAAATTTTGTAACTTTGGTGACTCGCGCTGTACGTTTGAATCGTCCATCGTGTTCGGCCAAAGCCTGCGATTTATGTGCTCACACTGTATGAAAACACTCAGTCCGACTGACATGACGCGACATGGGTGCTCACACTGCACGTGAAACGCAGCCCCTACAGACGCTCAGTCTACAATAAAGCTGATTCATTCAGAACAACACGCTGCGCCTCCGAGTCCAGCTCAAAACACTGGCTGACTCTCAGACGGCTCCCTGCTCCCTACATAGTGCACCACATCTTAAAATAGTGGCTCCTGCACCCATAAAGTGCATCACATGTCTGATAAATAGCCTTCTGAGGTTCAGCCATGTGTGCACAGTTCCATACTGGACAAACAGTGCACTGTTTTGGTGTAGAAGGCAGATTCAGCCATTGATAAACTGCTACAGCAGATTTGCTAACTGGTGCCACACTGTGCACTGAAGCTGAAGAGCAGGCCGTCTACAGACAGACAGCTCTACACAGACAAAAAACACTATTTATTTATACCTCGCAGTTCAACTCAGCCAAACAGAGCAAAGTCAGCATATACAGACGCTGGTGCTGCAGATATGGACTTTTCTGCCTCTGTGCAGGAGCCGTGGCTGTGATTGTGTGGTTTTGGGTGCGACTTTGAGAAATCGGTTCGTGTGGCTGCTCACACCGTGAGACAAGCGACCACGACTTTCTCACGTCAGAAATCCATCCGATCGTTTGACTGCTCAGTCGGAGCTCGTTTGGGCAGTTAATCGAGCATCGTTTCCCCTCTCTCACTGCACGGCAAACAGCGGTCGGTGAAGCTGAAATTCAGCACGATCATGAAATTCAGTCGGCTCCGACCAAATCGGACTTAAAAACTTTAAACTGTGCTGTACACGGGCCCGCCAAGGCTGGAGTTGTGCACCCTTGCATTAAACATTTCGACGTCTGCTTCCCATCACCACCACTGTGAATAATTCTGAATCAGTATGTTTTTCAAAAGTGGTGCGTTTCACATCAGACCACTCTGAATGACTTTGTTTACATTTTAAAGACTGAATTATGTAGAAATTCTAAAAAAAAAAAAATGGGTGAAATCCTTATTTAACTTAGTGCTCACATCTGGCACTTGCTGGAGCTGACAAAGCCTCATCTCCAGAGGTTTTAAGGATACGTGTGTGTATGTATGTATATATATATATGTATATATATAGACACACACACACCAATCAGGCATAACATTATGACCACCTCTTTGTTTCTACGCTCATTGTCCATTTTATCAGCTCCACTTACTATATAGGTGCACTTTGTAGTTCTACAGTTACAGACTGTAGTCCATCTGTTTCTCTGCATACTTTGTTAGCCCCCTTTTACCCTGTTCTTCTGTGGTCAGGACCCCCATGGACCCTCACAGAGCAGGTACTATTTGGGTGGTGGGTCATTCTCAGCACTGCAGTAACACTGACGTGGTGGTGGTGTGTTAGTGTGTGTTGCGCTGGTCTGAGTGGATCAGACACAGCAGTGCTGCTGGCGGTTTTAAACACTGTGTCCACTCACTGTCCACTCTATTAGACACTCCCACCTTGTCAGTCCACCTTGTAGATGTGAAGTCAGAGACGATAGCTCATCTGCTGCTGCACAGTTTGTGTTGGTCATCCTCTAGTCCTTCATCAGCGGTCACAGGACGCTGCCCACAGGACGCTGTTGGCTGGATATTTTTGGTTGGTGGACGATTCTCAGTCCAGCAGTGACACTGAGGTGTTTAAAAACTCCAGCAGCACTGCTGTGTCTGATCCACTTGTACCAACGCAACACACACTAACACACTACTCATATATTTTAACTTTATCTCACAGATCTTTCCTTGATGCTGTCTGAGCATCTCTGTCTAAGACATCTTGTACTACTTGTATTGTAATTCCAGTATCTTATATGGTCCAGAAGAGTTTGGGTCCCTGTTTTTTTTGTGTTTATTGCTTATTCTTTATAGGGAGTTTTTATGCCACTGTCACCCTTGGCTTGTTCATTAGGGCACTAGACCCAAAGTCCTGTGAAGCTCATTTCACAAGTCAAATCAGCTTTATTGTCGTCCGTTCTGTGTAGGATGACTTTCAATCCAGTCTCCCTGATTCTTCTCACAGACTCGCACAAACCAAAAACCAAAGGAAAATGTAGCTGGCTACAGTATACAGGGAGAAAATCATCAAATTCAAAGATGTTCTGAACCCATTCATGTCCAGCAACTAAATTTAGTATCTGAAGCTAAAATGCGTTTGAGTTTGGTCTGATTGGTCTAAAGTGATTACATTTGCATAGAATTGTTGTGCTTAAAATGAGCTGTTTTATTATTGTCTTGTTAAAAGTCACTTAGATGTGACCAAATTTAATATGATAAATTAAGTGATTAAAAACTTTTGCCATATGGTTCGATCAGTCGTGCAGGCTAAATTTGGTACTTTATTTTGTGTGAGTGTTTCATGTGTAAATGGATTTGTAATTGTTCCCTTTTCCTTCTTTTTCTGCAGGGTTTGTCTTCAGTGAGACAGAGCGCAGTGCGCTGGAGCAATTTGAAGGCGGACCATGTGCTGTCATAGCACCTGTTCAGGTATTTACCCCCATATGTTTACCTTCTGCACTGTACTACTGCGATACATACTGGCAGCTTAAGCTGTTTTTCTGTTGGCCAGTGGAGTATGACACAGTAATGCAGTGCAAGTGATGACAAAATGCTTTTAGTGTATCTGTCTCCTACATCTTCTCACAGATCTTCTGTATCAGTTTCCCCTTTGAAGCCATAATCATTGAAGTTTAAATGTTTATAATGGTGTAATAGAACCTGTTTATTATTGTGTAGAAATGGATAAGGACTTGGCAAATATGGCAGCAACAAAATTATGTTGGGTTTGTAGTTGAATCATAACTGGTCTGGAGGTCTTGGGAACTCATATTCCTCTGTTAGATCGGGTTGACGCTTGGTGTCCTCAATCAGATAGTCTCAGAAAGGGGCCCTGCAGGCTTAATGACTACTTCATGACTAGAGTTTGGAACAGAGCGTGTGTAAATAATGTTTTATGTTCATCATTTTGTGGGTGCATAATTTTGCTTCGGGATGATGCTGGAAGAGTTTTCCCTCCTAGATGGATAGGACTGAAACTAATGCTGAGCAGTATTGATAAAATTCTGTCTAATCTTATATCAAAATATCATAATTATATGTTGATCATGTATTTTCAGCATACACTGACTGGCCATTTTATTAGGTACATCTCCTTGTTTCTACGCTCATTGTCCATTTTATCAGCTCCACTTACTATATAGGTGCACTTTGTAGTTCTACAGTTACAGACTGTAGTCCATCTGTTTCTCTGCATACTTTGTTAGCCCCCTTTTACCCTGTTCTTCAAGGGGTCCACCACAGAGCAGGTTTCATTTGGGTGGTGGATCATTCCCAGTACTGCAGTGACACTGACTTGGTGGTGGTGTGTTAGTGTGTGTTGTGCTGGTACGAGTGGATCAGAGACAAGTGTTGCTGGAGATTTTAAACACTGTGTCCACTCACTGTCCACTCTATTAGACACTCCTACCTTGTTGGCCCACCTTGGAGATGTAACGTCAGGGACAAGAGCTCGTCTGTTGCTGTCTAGTTTGTGTGGCTCATCCTCTCGTCCGTCATCAGTGGTCACAGGATGCTGTTGATTGGATATTTTTGGTTGGACCTTTGTTTACATCTTCTGTTTCGATGTTAAATATGTTTTGCGTGAATGTTAAACAACCAGAGCTAAAATGCAACAACGTATCATTTTCTACTTTAGTACAGATAAAGGGATCAAATGTAAGTGCACCCTTAGGCGACGTTTACACAGCAGCTGTCAGTGTGAACAGCAAAAACCGCATTGAATCTGACATTTTCACTTCCGATTTGAGAAGCTTTTATATGTCGTACTGAAATCCGATACGTGTCCGATCTGCAGCAATGCGCCAGATCAGAATTCACGGTTGAGCTGATCTGTTCAGATTGATGTCGCGTACAGATCACACTTAAAAGATAATCGGAACAGCCAAACAAAAAAATCTGATTTGGTGAGAAAATCTGATTTGGGCCACTTTTACCTGCTGTGTAAACTTAGCCTTAGAGAATGTGAATGATAGCTGGCCCAAAGTAGTCCCCTTTCATTGCGCAAGTTCCAAAAATATTGCCATTTTTACTTCTTCTCTTGAAATAAATTGAAATTGGACTACATTCATGTTAAAATTCTGAAGACACCGGTTTTCACCTGCTGTTTGAATCTGTCCTGTCAGTGTGCCAATGTATTTGTGTAACACCAAAGTTAATTTTCTATTCACAGAAAGTTGCCTAGTTTGCCCAGGTATCATGTTTCTTGCCCCCAACCCCTCCTAAATAAAAATATGATTTGGTTTATGTTAGATTGATGGCAGGGCTAATGTGGTCCTTATGCTAAATATCATTGTTTTTATAGCAGTTTTAGCTGATGGCCATAACTAGACATCACAACAATCAGTCAGTTATAGTTTCTCCACATTTACACTGTGTTGTTTTTGCCTGCATATACGAATACAGTGCTTGCACTGTCATGTCATCTTGAGGACAGGATTTCCACGCCACAGTCAGTGACATTGCTAACATATCTCTGATGTGCGTTGGGTGGGGTGTTTTCTTGACTGCACCTATTTTTGAAAATGAAAATGAATGGAGCTAAAAAAAAAAAAGAAAAGAAAAGGAGTGATTCATTCGGTTTATACTCTAAGAATGAAGTTGCCTGCCTAGGGTTTGGTAGTATTCCCTTTTTTAGTACCTTCAAACCATCTCTAGATATGACCGCGGTATTCAGTATTACCGGGGCGGATGGGAGAGGGGGTGTAGTAAGTGATGCAAAAGTATTTATGGCGCTTTTTTCCCCGTCTCGTCCTGTTTTAATTTAAGATCAAAAGAAATTAAAGAGTACTGAAGTTCGCTTACGTTGTCACGAAGTAGATGAAAACAGTGTACCAATTTCAAAGCATCATTCATTAAATATCAAACCATCTGTCTAACAATTAATGTTAAATGTTAAATAGTGCTGCTAACTAGGAGAGAGGAGCTGGTTAGCATTAGCTCAGCTAACATGCTAACAGCTGCCGTTGGCCAATAACTGGCTAACTCGGTTGGTCAAGATGACTGATCAGCTGTGCCCCAGCAACTGGAACTTTTTGGCCAAAGTCACAATGATTACAGTCTCCAAAAGCAGCTCAAATGAGGCTCCAGCTGGGCTACAAAAATCCGAGTTCTGTGTGGAAGAACTCAGTTTCAGCTGCTGAATGATGCAGTAAAGCTCTCAGTGTTACTTTCACTTTTCCAAAATGAAAAGTAGGCTGCCCTGTGTCCCTGTTTAGGTGTGGTTATTATTGTGAATTAAACTTAATACTAAAAAAAACAATCAGTGAAGAAAATGTACTAGTGAATTATAGTCAAAAATAAAAGCAATGTAGAAGACAATGTAGAATCACAAAGGAAAAACCTTTAGTTTTATTTTTTCTATCTGTGAAGGAGTGTTTAGAAGTGGATGCTTTCTGCGTTTGACTGTCTTAAGGAAAGCTGTAGTCGAGCCAAGCTCAGTCTACCATTGACAAATATTTATTGTACCATTCTCAAATACCAACTATCGCAGCTTTCTTCTTAATGCTGAAAAGTAATACTGAAATCAAATAAACAAACCCAAAGCTATTACTATATTATTGATCTATATTACTTTGTTATTTGAAGTAAATAAAAATAAAACTGTTAATGCAACCTTAAACTTAACCTAAACTGAACTGACATCAAAAACTAATATGAAAATCTGAATTAAAATAAAAACCAATGAAAATTTAAAACTATAATAACTCTGTTATTATAGTAGTAGAGCATGTATTATTTGAACTTGAAGACATTTGGTGCTTGTGTTTTGTGCTTGGTCTCACTTCAAGCTGCATCTCCAAAAGCAGCTCACATTGTATGTAGCTGTGTGCAAAAGCACTAAGTTTGAATAAGGCAGAGAAACTCTCTGTTCTCCTTTTGGTTTTTCAAAGCGGAAAACATTCAGCTTAGTCACAGTTTACCTGTTTCATGAGAGGCAAAGGAAATCTTCTTTGTTAGATTTTTTGTCTGTTTTTTTGGTTTTTTTCTGTGGTGCAAACACAACAAAAATGCATCACATCTGGTTTGTATAGTTTTGATGTAAAAAAATAAAAAATGGTCTGAATATTTTAAATTTTCGTATTCTTCATTCACGTTGTGTTCGGGATGTAGCGAAAGCTGAAATCGAACGTGTTATTATATGGTCTGTGTAGCTCTTAGCCACCGTTAAGCTGCTGTCATGCTTAGATCTTCTGAGGTTTTTTTTGACTCAGATTTTTCCTCTGTTTGTAACTACGCCATCTATCAGTGAGTCTTTCTAAAATAAATGGGTGGAGTTTGTTTATTTAGCTGTTCAGACATGTAGTAGAAATTTGACACATCTTAATTTTCAGATACATACACGTTATTAATGTTATAGTGCCCAACCTCTTGACCACCATTGGAAATTTGTTGGGATATGTTACATAAGGTACTTCTTGTTCAGGTTTCTCTCTTTTTTTTTTTTGTAATTCTCAGGCATTCCTGCTGAAAAACATCCTTTTCACCATGGAGAGCTCAAACTGGAGAGATATCTCAGGTAGGAACTGAAAAATGAGTGCTGTGGATAGAGGGTGAAGTGTTGGGGCTACATGGCCCTTCAAACCGAGGTTTTTCAGAGACTCACTTCAAACAGAGAGTTATGAGAAAAAAAGAAAAAACGACAAGATGGCGGCGCGAGGGACCGAAGAAACCCACAAATGTGAGAATTTTCTCCGTTGACAAATTTCGATAACCACTGTATTATCTTAGTTTTCCATGGTTCAATGTATTATGGTCCTTTTCTTCACAACAACCATAAAACTCTCTAGTGATATGCTGACGTATTGGTAGTATTATCTAATATATTAAATAAATCAGAAGTTATGAATACGTCTCCAGTGACTACTTACGATTTAATTTCATGGTAGCACATTTACATCAGTCTTTTGCTGCAGCTGTCCTGTGAGTCCTTGACCGTGTTGTTGCAAACTTTTGGACTGCAAGTGTGTGCAACTTTCTTAACATCTGAACAAATGGACAAGGAGGAGATTAATAAAGAAGCTATACAGCTGCTTTCGTCTCCGCTCTGATGATGCAGGTGATTAGGTGATCCTTCACTGCTGACAAAATATTGAAACGGACTCTTTTCAGGAAAAGACAATTTTTTTGGTATTTATTTATTGTTATTAAATATCATCACTGTCAGAACAAAACTTCATATCTCCAAATTGGTAACTTTAAAGGAGAAGGAAAGATATTCTTTACTTTTAGTGGAAGTTAATGTTAAAAGAGTCAAGTTACAATTTCTATTATTTCACTCATCATGAAATTTTCTCTCACTGTAAAAGCTGCTTGCTGTTTTCAAAAGAACAACAAAAATGGAAATACAAGCAACAGTTTATTTAATTGGGACAGATTTGTAGCAATATGCTAATTTGCTGTATTTGTCCCTAGAGGGTCCTTTATTGATGTCTGATAATGATTGTAGCACACCTTGTGCTACTCTGGGCTCAGGAAGGACGCTGGAGGCGGGGTTCAAGTTCGCTGAAACAAACCCGAAACCTATGCTACGCTGACCACTTTTCAGTGGCTTCAAATAAGACTTTTTAGTCTTTTATTCACTCGAGCTTTTCAGCTCTTCGCTGAGTCTCTACTGCTTTTCAAAAGGTGCTCACCTGATCCGAGAGAGAAAGAGAGCTCATTGCTCCGCCTCCACGTCACTGCCCCAGCTCGGCAGCTCGGCCACTCGGGTCAAATGTAAGGCAAATGAAATTGGCCTCGCTGTGGGACAGGAGGCGGCACCCAGGAGGCGGGGCTCAGGACTCGTGTGCCCTCCCCCACTCGCTCGCTGTTCTCTCCCCGTCGTCCTCGCTCGGAATTTGGGCCTCGCCTTCCTGCCGGCTTCTTGTGGCAGTCATCGGGGTCCGGGGGGATGCAGGCCATATGATCAAATTAATTCTCTTGATATTATTCAAATTGTTTCAAATTAGTTTTGACCAAATAATGTTGAAACATTTCTTACCAAATCTGTATTTTCTAATTATAGGGCATCAAAGCAAAGACTTAGCTAATACAGTCAGGTGTGTTTGTTACATCAGGTTATCACGACGTTCAAAATTCGGTGATTATACAGTAAACTGTCCAACTCTTTTGCTGCATGAACTGTTGAATGTAGTTAGTAGTGAAGTCTGTAAATAGATGTAATGTCGTATGTATGTTTGCAGAGGAGGAGCAGCGGACGGCCCTGTGCTCTACTCTCAGTGAGATTCTGGAGTCGGCCTGCCTCGGCAAGACACAGAACTTTTGTCTGGCCACCTGGGCCCGCGCCAAAGCCACGGATGACAACACGGACATCACAGACAGCCACCCAGAGCCAGAGTCCAGTCAGCCCACAGACGCTCAGCAGCAGCCGAGTGAGAGACTGAGCACTTCATCACTTACAGCTTAGAGCCGAGCTATTCAGTTTCGGTCCTGCGGGGCTGGATTTTAGCACAGTTTGTTGATTTTCCTGCTCAAACATGCTGACTAAACCTGGTAATTAAACGAAAAGTTGAATCAGGTGTGTTTGAGCAGGAAAATCAGCAAACAGTGCTGGACACTGGCTCTCCAGGATGGGAATTGAGTAGCCCTGGCCTCGAGCCTAGAGAGAGAAGATGCTAAACACTTCACTGAATGGTTTAATCTCCCTGAGCACAGCCTAGTGCAGTGGAGGCCAAGCGAATTGCCTCTATGTGCTGAAATATAATCTTAGCATGGGCCAAATGGCCAGAAAGCAAAAGGTCTGTTTAAAAATAATGCAAAAAAGTACAAAAACCTGTAATTCACATTGACTGTTATTCGTCAGAGTTGCGTACGGTCACATCTGGAATTAGCACATGCAAATTTTACAGGTTTGTTATTCATTTAGTTCATTTTTGGCATGTGATTAAACTCGTGTCTGGTAAGAGTGCGTGTAAATTCGAGTGTAATAATTTAACAGCCTGAAACAAAGCTTGGTTTGTGGTTAACTAACCAAAACTATTGTCACTGTCATCCGTAACACAAATAATTAAAATATAAATTGAAAATTACGGTACTAATAATTTCTGCACATCTACTTATTTTACATGCACATTTGTATAAACAAATGCTGCCGTTGTTCCACATTTCATTTAAAATTATATCACATGGTGCTTTTGTTTTATATTACTGATAAAGCCCAAATGACAAACAATACAAAACACAGCTAATGTAGAAGGATCTCATACACTACAATAATACAGTGTTTAAATTTATTTTAGGAAAGTAATCACACTATAAAATCATATTCTAGCATCTTTTTTTAAAAGAAATTTTGTTTGTTTCATGTTTTATTCTTTCCAGTTGTCTTAATTCTAACACTATAAAGTTTGGTCAGTAGAGGGAGCAGTGCTTGACCTCAGACTCCAGCTACTGGCACAGCCATTGGCTCACGAGCTGCTGAATACTGGCTGTGTTTACATGCGAAGATTTTTGCCAATCTGATTGAATACGTTCTGATTACAGATATAGACCGAGGTGTTTATCTCACTCTGCTCAACAATCTGATGGAAAATCTCCAATTACACTCACACTACAAGAAATCTGATCTAAAATGATGCGCATGCGTAGAGAACCACTTAGTGTAGACGTTACCATGACAACGCGCATCACATGCGAGTCCAGTCAGAGTGAGATGAGCAGCAGTGAGCAGTGCTTGTGTTTTTAATGACTTTAAAATGATGTCAGACTCAGGAAAACGTCCTTCACATGTCCTCATTAAAGACGGCCGAGAGGAAGACGTCGTGTTCTGAGACACATAAGCTGGACGTCCGTCCCACCGCCGTCTTTTAAAGATCAGAGCATAAACTTCGTCTCCTCTGCAGACCAGTTTCTGCTCCGCCATGTTGAACGGTATAAACTTTCACTATGACGTGACGACACATGATCAGAACGGACTTGAGACTTTCCGATAGGGAATGTAATCAGATACAGGAGTTTACATGGCTATTATTCTTCTATTTAACAGATTATTTACAGGATTACCCACCTCGTTCAGTCAGATAGAAACTGTATTCCGAATAGCCTCAATCTGACAATTCTATTCTGATTGAGGTGTTTACATGAGCGTATTCTGTTCCGATTGAGCTATTAGTCGGATTATTAACGGATTATTAGGCAGCATGTAAACGTGGCTTCTGTCATTTTCTTGGCTCCTTACCAAAACCTCTGTATGAATTCTGGCATTTCATCTAAGTGGTACGTAAATGAGGTACTGGTAGGCCTGCACTTGATTTCATTTGCCAAAGCTGATTCATCATTTGTACTCATCTCTCTCTTTCCATGTCGTACAAAAGTTTCACTTATCAGGTCAAATCTGTGTTTTTATTTTAAAGCAACTTTGATAAATAAAGGTCATTGTCAAGTTGTATAAAACTTTTTGTCATAACTTTTAATAATAATTGGCAAAGCCATAAAGATTTTGGCAGCTTGGTTGTCTCTTAAGTGATTGGCTAACACTCAGTACTGAATCTCTTAGTGTTAATGAACAGTAGACGGAAGTGCCGACTGCTCAAGATGCTGAGTAGTTCATTACAGATGATGCGACTTCTCTGTTCAGCATGCTGTTTTGAATGTAATCTGATGACAGTAGAAAAGAGGGAAGTTCTGATCCCGATGTTGTGCTTACATTTAATGCAGTCTAATGTAATGGAGTGTGATGCATCTTGTTGAATGTGTACTTTTGCTGTGTGTGTGTGTGTAGCTGCTTTGGCTGCTGAGGAGCTTGGCTTTGAGAGGTTTCACAGCACAGTACAGTAAGTGCACCCTGTTAACTCTGCACAGAACACACTGCAAAGGCTACACAAAGAATCACTCTGTAGCCCACATTTATTATTAACATCCATTATTTAGACTCTCTTCCATTTCAGACTGATGCATCATTCAGCTTTTAGATTTCTTGCATGCAATTTTTTATTTGTGTTTACAAGTTGGTGTGATTTACATGCATAAAAGTAGCATTCAAACATGCCTTATTTTACATATGTAAGAGTCACGATCAAGAGGAGTCTTCAACAGGAATGGCTTAACAAAATGCTCGTTCTCAGATGTTTTATGTCATCTTATGAACGTGTCCAAGGCTCTAAACGCTGTGCATTTGTCTTCAGTAAAAGAACACTAAAAACTGTCGCTGAGCTGAAGGAGGCTATTCTGTCACTGCATGACACTTGGAGGAACAAGTTTGGCGTCCTGCTATTTCTGTACTCGGTCATACTTACAAAGGTAAGACCACAGCTTTATATAATTGTAAGATAATTGTAATCTCTATGCGCACACATGCCTTTTCTTGCGTTCTTGCAGTTTTTCTTTACTTTGTGTCGTTGTAGTCATGTTTTGTGTGTGTGAATGTGTTAACTCTTACAATTGAACTGTATTTGCAGGGTATTGAGAACATAAAGAATGAGATAGAGGACACTTCAGAGCCACTCATCGATCCTGTGTATGGCCACGGCAGGTAAGATTCATACACATTCTGTCTGTGAAAAGGTTATGTACAAATCTCAGTTCCAGAAAAGTTGGGACAGTATATATTTGAATAAAAACAGTGTAAAACAAGATATATAGTGTTTTAGCTTATCAACTTTATTGCCAAAAATAGAGAGCAGTGATTTATAAATCTACTTTGACCTGTGCACCATGGTATATTTTGTTTTTTCATCTGAATTTACATTATTCAGTAACTGCATGAAATAAATGAAAAATTTGATTTTATTTTTTTTTGTAAAAGTTCCCCTCAAATTAACAGAACATGTTTTATGATCACACATATTGCTATATGCTTAATTAAAAGTCTTAGACGCTCTTTGTATTTTTTTTATAATAATAATTTTTACAGAGCAGATCACTGAAGAGACGCCATCTGTTTACAGTTTATAGCCCAGAATTGTGGAAAAATGGGTCGACTTTCAGTTGAAGCCAGTTCAGCTTCTTTTATTATAAGGGTTTAAAATTACATTACCCATCTATTTGACTGGAAAGAAGACAGTTACAGCTCTCAGATGACCCCCACCTTTAGAATGTAGCTTATGAAATATGAAAGTTATGAAGAATATGACGAAGTGCGTTTTGGAACCACTGGTGGTCTCAAGGAGTTGAAGAGGTTAAATGAAAACAGTATCAAGACAAGATATGTAATGTTTTCACTTAGTAACCTCATTGTTTTTTGGTAAGCTTAAGACATCCGACAGTGTAAAAACACCATTCTTCAATAAGCAACTGCAAGGAATATTTCACCGTCTGCAATGCATAGTATTATCGAAATATTCAACCAAGAGAAAGCTCTGTGTGTAAAGGGCAAGGCTGGAAACCACAACTGAATACCAGGGCTCTTCGGCCTTTCAGACAGCACTGCTTTAAAATCCAGCATGATTTTGTAAGGATGTCACCGCATGAAGTCGGGAATACTTTGACAAATCGTTGTCACTGCATTCACAAACCCAAGTAAAGACTTTATTTTTTCTATTGGAAGCCAGACGAGGACAACATTTCTGGGCTCAAGCTCATCTGAAATGGACTGATGCACAGTGGCAACATGTATTGTAGTCTGAAGAGTCAGTATTTCATATTGTTTATAGGAATAATAGTCATGTTCTTCGGGCCAAATAAGAAAAGGAGCACTCAGATTGTTACTAGCAGGAAGTCAGGGTTTTGGGGTGGTATTAGTGGGTAAACTGCACATTTTGTCAAAGCAGGTTTAATGCTAAACACATTCCAGAGCAAAATATGCTGCCTTATAGACATATTTTTAGGGATATGTATGTGTATATTTAAAAAGGCTGCATATTTGTTTTTCTCAAGGAAATATTAAAAAATAAACAGACGGAGGCTGTAGATAATTTGTTTTATTCGGTGTTACTTGTAATCATTGTTCTCGTCTTTGCTGGATATTTTTTCCATTGAAAAAGTCAGAGCAGCTGCCGCTGCGTTTCCATGGCAGCAGATTTACTGATTGGTTCAGAACATGTTATCATCATGTTAAAGCGACGTACTCATTAGTTAAATGTTAAAACAGTAAGCCAGGAGAGGCCATGGGTTACTGCGATATTAACACGGGGAAGTTATCACGGGGTGTTCTTTGACGCGAAGTGGAGTAAAACTCCCTCCCCCGTGATAAAATCGCAGTAAAGCACTGCCTCGATTGGCTTATTGCTGTTATAAAATGGGGGCCAACATAAAATATATAAAAATACACAAAATTTTAGATACTTATTTAAGTTATTATTCATAATAATTGAGAAGTATTCCGCCAAGATATGTAGTTCCTTTAGAGTACGCTATTGTTGCTTAGCAACCATTGACCACTGAATGAGGAGAAGAACGTTCGGTCGCCCATCGCTGTAAACTGCAGACATTTCCTGATTTTGTAAAAACTTTTCTCATATAACAGTGAACATATGATAACACAACACTGTTTAATGCAAAAACCTTTAGTTTTAAGTACTTTTTGGTCACCAAATTACCACCGCGAGTGGAAACTTGGGATTTATCCATATTCATACTCGACAAGCCGTCACTATTTGACAGCAGAAGCTAGAATTTCTAAGCTTAATGTTACACAGCTCACTATTTAGCTAGGGAGAACGGAGCCATTTGGGATTCAGCCTGGGTTTGATGCTACTTCTGACTGAAACACGGACATTTGAAGCGTTTAAGACTTTTATTTTGCCGTTTTTCAATTAATCATTTCGTGAGTGCTTTAATTCAAGCCTGTGATATTAATGTTGGAGTTGTTTAGGATGTTGAGTTCTGGTTAACAACATAAGCAACCAGCCCCTCAGTTTAAACACAAACCGGTTCTTACTTCATCAGTGCACTCAGTGCTCCGTTCAATCAGCATTAGAGTCAAAGATTAATCCATTAACAGCACAAGGGTTTTTCTTGCCATGGCGCAGTGATACGGAGTTGTTGTAAGGCGGTCACAGCCGTGGTATATTGTGGATCAATCAGATTTTAGAACCGGATCTGTTTTATAATACTAGTTACGACACGACTTTTAGTAAAAGGATAGTTTGAAATTAACTAGTGTAACAAAAGACTCAGTAATGACTTTATGCCCCAACTTAACCTCTTCAACTTCTTGAGACCACCGGTGGTTCCAAAATGCACTATTCTTCATAATCTTCATCTTCATATTTCATAAACTACATTCAAAAGGTGGGGGTCATCTGAGAGCTGTAACTGTCTTCTTTCCAGTCAAATAGATGGGTGATGTAATTCTAAACCCTTATAATAAAAGAAGCTGAACTCAGTTTTTTTTTTTTCCTACTAAAAGTCGACCCATTTTTCCACAAATCTGGGCTATAAACTATAAACAGATGGCGTCTCTTCAGTGATCTGCTCTGTAAAAATGATTTTTCTAAAATAATACAAAGAGTGTCTAAGATTTTTGGCTTTCAGCAGTAAATTGTAAGCATATAGCAATATGTGTGTGATCATAAAACACATTCTGTTAATTTGAGGAGAGCTTTTACTAAAAAAAAGTAAATCAAATAAAAATTTGAAACATTTTTTTTTTATGCAGTTACTGCATGAAATTATCATAGAACAAAGCTGATCAGTCAGAATAATATTGTATTGATTTGCAGTGACCCTTCCCTATGGAGCCCTGGTCACCAACCCTCCTTCTGAACAGTTTAGTTCCAACCTGCATCTAAACTGTTTTTGCATTATATTACTTAAAGTTTTACAGACCCGATTCTAAACTGTTTGCCAGTGGGGTGAGATTTATTTCACTTGGTAAGATTACTTGAGCTTGATGAAATGATTTAACACAGGGTGCTTATTGCCTACATAAAGCATGTTTTCACATGATAATATGCTGGTTTTTGCTTTGTTATACCTCCAAATCTACATCTATCCAGCCAGGATGACTAGTAGATAGCTAACCGGGCTACTACCTAATTCTAGTAGGAAGTAATGTTAGCAGACTTTGCCTTATATTCTTTATTAATGGAGCAATTTAAGGATGTTGAATATTTATAATGCCCTGTTTAGAATCATGTTATGCCACTGCAAAGGAATTTAAGCCGCCAAGAAATTTAAGTCCTTGTTTTCCCATTTTGTTTTATTTATTTATAATTGAGACCTTTGTTACGCTTGTTAGACGATGAAGAACAAAGACAAGCAAACAACAAAGCTTCTGAGAATAGAAGTGCTAATCTAGGACCTTATTTGTGTCTTATTTCTGATGACCTGCCTCTCCCTCTCTCCCTCCCTGTATAGTCAAAGCCTGATTAACCTCCTGGTGACGGGGCGCGCTGTGTCCAATGTCTGGGACGGCGACAGGGAATGTTCTGGAATGAGTAAGACTACTAACTTTTACTTTCAGATAATCTGTTGCTAATCATGTCGGCTGTTTGTGCTTTCAAGGGTATATTTAGATTCTGCCACTGTTTTAGGTTCGAACACTAGGTGGCAGTGTTGCATGCTGTTTAAGACTCACTATCAGTGAATTTGTCTGACAGATGTTGCTGATGATGAACTGCATTATTTAAAGTGTTTACCAGCAAAGGGCCGGTGTCCAATGGCTCCTCCACTTAGACGCACCAGACCTGGCTTTAATTAATGCTTTAATTAGACAGTGATCTCTCTCTCTCTCTCTCTCTCTCGCTCTCGCTCTCGCTCTCTCTCTCTCTCTCTCTCTCTCTCTCCCTCTCCCTCGCTCTCTCCCTCGCTCTCTCCCTCGCTCTCTCTCTCTCTATCTCTCTTGCTCTCTATCTCTCTCTCTTTCTTTATTTCTCTCTCTGTGTCTTTCTTTTTCTTTCTCTCTCTCTCTCTCTCGCTTTCTTTTTTTATTTCTCACTCTCGCTCTCGCTCTCTCTCTTTCTCTCTTTCTTTCTATCTTTTTGTTTTATCTTTCTTTCTCTCTCTCTCTTTTTTGTTTTATCTTTCTTTCTCTCTCTTTCTTTTTCTTTTTGTTTTATCTCTTTCTCGTTCTTTCTTTTTGTTTTATCTCTTTCTCTCTTACTCTGTCTGTCTCTCGCTCTTTCTTTCTTTTTGTTTTATCTCTTTCTTTCTCTCTCTCTCTTTCTCCATCTCTCGCTGTCTTTCTTTATTTCTCTGTCTCTCTCTCTCTCTCTCTCTCTCTCTCTCTCTCTCTCTCTGTCTCTCTCTCGCTCTCTGCAGAGCTTCATGGGATCCATGAACAGGCTTCTGTAGGATTTCTCACACTAATGGAGTCACTGCGATACTGCAAGGTGTGCACACAACAAACACAGAATATCTCACTGATTATGACCACTGGTTTATGCACATAGCTCAGCAATAAGTAAGTATTGACAACATTGATAATAGGTAATAAATGCACTATAACTGATTAATAATTAAAACTAGGGCTGCAAGTACTGAATATTTTCATTTTCAGTCAAGTCATTTAATTTTATTCATGCTGAATGTCCAAATATTGTATGAGGATGTTTCACTTTAATGATTAAATGGAAAAAATAAAAAAAAAATAAAAAAAACATTAAGATTGTCATTATAGGTACTATTCTAATTGTTGTTATTGTAGTTGTTATTATTTATGAATTACACATAGCATATTTCAAGGTAAAGGTAAAACACTACAAAGGAAAACATCACTGATGATCAGTTATTGATGTAGCTGAGAGCATAAAATGCTATTCAGGGAGATCCTGCCCAGTCTGGCAGCTCTGACCAGGTTTCTACGACAGTTTGAATGTATCTGAGTTGAGTAGCGCAGGAGAGTCTTATTAACCATACTGTCCATCTAAAAAGCTATTTTCGGTCAGTTCTTTTTAGCGAGCAAGAGGGTGAGGGACAATAATTTGTTTATTCGTTTTTGAATTGTTCACACTGATTAAAATAGCATTTTTAGGAGCAGAAGATCTGTTGCTGTGCTCTTAATCTGTGCCCTTTTGTTTTTTGTTTTAAGTTTTATTTAACTGAGTTTTAAGCCATTCAAAAAAATCATACCTAAGTACAGGCTTAAGTCAGCTGTCTGTGTCGTCTCCCAGTGCAGTCTGAATAAGTTTCTTTCAGCTTGCAGCTGTCCTGAGCAGAAGAAAAACCATTCTGACTGCACTGAATGATTAATAACTATATTGTCACCTCAAATTAAAGACTTTTTTTTTTGTTTTTCCATTTAATATTGCAATTTTTCAACCTCCTGTCCACACAAAACCAGTGTTGTCAGTCAATGAAAATGAACATTTAAAACCATCACTAGAATAGAGATTTTTGGTAACACTTTCTATGAATGTCACCTTTGTAAGCATCTATAAACACATTCATAACGTTATAATGCATTTGTAAGGCATCATAAACGTGTCTAAATATTTATAAAAATGCATTGCACGTCATAGCCATGCTTATTATGCATTATGAATTGTTAACATAAAGCATTATAGGTACTGTTCATAGCAGATTATAAGAGCTCGTAAGTTATATTTGTCTGCTCTAAGTAAAGTGAAACGTACTGTACTAAAGCCTCCTCCAGTGTTCAGAGTGAGGCTTCAAGTTGAAGTATTCACTGAAGGATTTACTGAAACACTAAAACATTCACAATAAAGCACATTACAGGCTTCAAATGTCAGAGTTTAAACTAGTGCTGCATCAGTGTTTTACCCAATGTGGGAAACCAGCGGTGAGAAATAAAATACTGGAAATCTCAGGGCGGAAATAAACTCTGTATTTGTCTTTACACTCTCCAAGCTGGGACCGACTTCTTTGGCTCTGAGAGTATAGCATGTTATTAACGCTACTTATAATGCGTTATATTAACAATTCATAATGTATAATAAACATGGCTATAAGGCAATTAAGTGTAAATCATTTTTATAAATATTTATAACCATGTTTATAATGCCTTATGAACACATTGTAACATGTTATTAACGTGTTTATAGATGCTTACAAATGTGACATTCATAGAAAGTGTTACCACTTAATTTAGCTTTTGCCCTATCATTGGACAGGAAAATAATTTGTTGCTTTTTTGCACCTTTCGTACTGATTAAAACAACATTTTAAAAACAGAAAATTTTCTATGCCCTTAATAAAAGTCATTTTGTTTTTTGGAAGTGTGATTTAGAAGAGGCTAGATGTTTTATGCTTTAATTGTTCATTTTTTTTTAAATATAGCATTGTGTATGGTGATAATCATTTAATGTAAATAATTGGAAGTTGTAACCCTAAACAGAGCCAACCACAGGGGCACTGCTGCTGCCTATCTGGGTGAACATCCAGTAATAACACAAACATGAGTATTGAAGGACATATTTTCATTTTTCTAAACTGCAGTCCATGTTTCCATTATGCTAAATGTGGGGAGCCACATAAACACTTTGAAACCCTTAGAACACTGTAAATATGCTGGTAAGCGGAAAAAAGGAAGCCATTAAGAGCTGTTTCCAAAAGGCCACTGGTCTGTGACCTCATCTTCCAGTGGAAAACGAGGGATCGTTTGGTTTGAGTGGATTGTGAAAAGAGTGTAATTGTATTTTAGTATATTGACACATCAGTGTCTCTCAGCTCCAGCGTTTAGGGCTATAAGCATTCTCTATTAACCAGGGATGATTTAAACTGTCTGCAGTCTAGTGAATAATCAGAATAAATAATTTGTTTATAAAATAATTAACTCTGGTCATAATTTACACAGGTGCATGACTGTGTAGTAATAAAATGTAGACATGTTATGTTGAGGCAGTTTTGCAGCATTATCAATGCAAAACTCCATCACTAGAGGGAGACATAGTGAAGGGATCCAGATTGATAACCTTTTATGATTTCAGTGAGTCCTGACTTGTTTTGGTAAACAAGCTGAAGGCTTAAAATGCTTTTTAGCTACAGTAATGTGCACTCTTTTTAAGAAGACTAGAACAGAGAACGAGTTCCTTGGCTCGGGGGAGAGGGGTGGTACTGGACTTGCCTTATTCATAGAGTGCCTTGCCCTGTTCATAGAGTGTCACTGGTCTTGAAGTATCACTCTTTTACAGTTTTCCTGCTGCCTTTTCACATCCACAGATCTTCTGCTACCTTTTCACATCCACAACCCAGCCACTGAAACAAATGATTCGCATATAAAAACCTTTTTTTTTCTTCTTAAAAGTTACTTCTGCTCCCGAGTGGCGCAACCGTCTAAGCGTTGGCCCTATCATCAGGAAATCGCGAGTTCGATCCCTGGTGATGCTACAGCCGTCCGTAGCCGGGAGTCCGAGAGAGCACAATTGGCCTCACTCTCTCTGGGCGGGTGGGATGGCCCCTCCCTCTCCCCCCATCACTCAACGCGATGCTAGTCAGCGCAGGCGTCTGTTAGCTGACGTAACAGATCTGGCGGTTGGCGCTTTCCTCCGAGCGCGTTCGGCTGTCCAGTGACGTTGCGTGAGCGGCAGTTCGAAAAGAAGCGGTGGTTGGTTTCACAGGTCTCGGAGGAAGCCTGTGCTACCCTTCACCCTCCTAGCATTGATAGCATCGTGTGATTGGGGGAGTCCTAACTAGCGGGTGGAATTGGAAACGACAAAATTGGGGAGATAATTGGGTAAAAAATCAGTTACTTCTGTCTTTAAAACAAACAAAAGTGGGGGCTCCTGAGCGGTGCAACCGTCTAAGCGTTGGGCCTGTCATCAAGAGTTTGTGAGTTCGATCCCTGGTGATGCTACAGCTGTCCGTGGCTGGGAGTCCTAGAGAGCACAATTGGCCTCGCTCTCTCTGGGTGGGTAGGATGGCCCCCTTTCTCCCTCCATCACTCAGCGCGATGCTAGTCAGCGTAGACACCTGTTAGCTGACGTAACAGATCTGGCGGTTGGCGCTTTCCTCCAAGCGCGTTCAGCTGTCCAGTGACGTTGCATGAGCGGCAGTTCGAAAAGATGCGGTGGCGCTACACAGGTCTCGGAGGAAGCCTGTGCTACCCTTCACCCTCCTAGCACTGGTGGTGTCGTGTGATTGGGGGAGTCCTAACTAGTGGGTGGAACGACTGAATTGGGGAGAAAAATTGGGGGAAAATACAAAAAAAAGAACCTTTAGCCTTCTAAAAAGAAGTAACTATGAGGTACAAACCTGGTCCATGAAGTGCACATGACAAAAACTTAAGCTAAAGGGCTGGACAGCAAATGTTATCGGCATCAAGCACATCAACTTGAGATAAACAGCACAACCTAACACAACCAGCATGTTGATAAAAAAAACGTCAGTACAGCATTCAACAAGTAACACTAAATATATGCAGTCTCCAAAAATAAGACAATGGACGTCTGCAAAATTTACAGATCTTTAGCTCAGACACAGCAGTAATAAACCTAGCAGGCTGGTGAGTATTCACCAAAACTGTAACTGTTTTTGTCCCAATTAAACATGAATTAAGTCAACTTGAGTTCTTTAACATGGGTTTAAAATGAATATCTGATCCTGTATTAGCAGGCTGCTGTACATTAGCCTTGTTTACTACTAAGCCTGGTGACAGAAGCTTTTGATAGGAGAAAATGTTGCCAATCCTTTAAAGAAGTTTGTTAATTTTGCCTCGCAGTGCCTCGAAACGAGTCACTCGATGGTTAAGGGTGTTTTCTCTGGCGCCCCAAAGTACTAATTTTCTTAGCTGATAGAGACTGATGGAGAACCCTCTACAGCACAGAACAAGACCACCACAACAGCTTCAAGCTCCAAGTAGTTTTTTTAACGCTCCAAATAGTTTTACAGACGTCAAAACAAAAACAGTGTAGTATTTAGTGGAAGAATAGTTATACATTTTCGTATAGACACTTATTCTGTTTGGCTCATGTCACATGCTTGCAAATTTGTCATCCAAAATTTCTCCCAGTTTTAACAGTGAGTAGTGAAAAAAGCGAGAGGGACTGTGGGATAATAAGCAATGCTCACCTCGCAGGGACAAAAGTTAAGCTGACTTTAACTTTATGCCAATTATGGTAGCCGTGCAGCACTGACCAGTCAGGCAGGAGCCACTTTCTGTTGTCCGTGTGCAATGAAGACGTGCCTACATGAAGGAAATGTGAAAACAGCTGTGTCTGGATCCCCATTCTGTACGATCCCAAACAAATACAAAAACAAAAGTACCGCAGGGCAGAAAGTCTCTGACATTGTCGTTGTTCCTGGCGAGCTGAAAAACAGAGCTGAGTTTCAGATGATAGTCTGTGTAGACAGCCAACATATCCTGAACTATGAGCACTTTGGCATGAGTAGCAAACTTGAGAAGAAAATTTATTTGAAATCCACGACTGATTGA